TGTGTGTGTGTGTGTGTGTGTGTGTGTGTGTGTGTGTGTGTGTGTGTTGTACCATGCCATAAGCTCAAAGCATTTGGGCCAATGAGTTAGGGGCAGAAAGCTCCCAAACTATAAACCAAAATAAACTTTTCTTGGCATAGGGGAGATGACTCAGGGGTTAGGAGCAATTGCTGCTTTTCATGAGGACCAGAGTTCATTCCCAGCACCATGTTAGGAAGATCTCTAACTCCAACTCCAGGGGATCCACTGTTCTCCCCTGGCCTTTGAGGGCACCTGCTTTCATATGTACATAACCAGTCAGGCAGACAGACATAGACATAAACACAGACGAACAGACACACAATTAAAAACAATTAAATTAGCTTTTTACTCTTTTGATTGTTGTAGTTGTTGTTTTTGGATGCCAGTTCTGTGAAGCCCAGTCTGGCCTCAGACTCGCTATGTAGCTAAAGGTGAGCTCCACATCTTTATCTTTCTTGCCTTTACTTCTCCGTGCTGGCACCAAGTTGCTCCACCTTTCCCCTTATGATTATATCAGGTGTTTTGTGATGATAAAAAAAGCTGGCTAACAGTTTTCCCCCAGAATGTGATTTGCATTTTGTGTCAATTTTCAAAAACATTCTTCACAATATTCCCTTTTTAGTCTCTTAATGAAAATGGGTAAGATCAGTAGTATCATTAGCATTTTTTTTTTTTTTCACTTTTGGTTACCCTGTTCAGAAGTTTAATTATTTCATTTTGGCAAAGGATCCACTTTTGATTTATTTGATTTCCATACTGTTCTTTTCTTTTTATTTGCTTCCCATCTTGTTTTTATTGTCCATTTCTTTATCTTACACTGGATTAAGAAGTTCTTTTTCTAATAAATTCTTCATGCTCTAACTTTCTTTGCATCACCCAAGTTGAAGTGAAAGTGAAGATGCAAGTCATCAAAACTTGGGTGATGCAAAGAAAGTTAGAGCATCTAGAATGCAGTCAGGAATTAACACTGGTTTAATAAAGTGCTAATCGTACATTCTCATCTAAGATTCATGGCCTCACTAGCCATGTGTAGTTGCAGGTGTTCATAGTACCAGGCATGATTTTGCTCATATTGAGTGGGCCTTAAGTCTAATTAGACAGTTGTTAGTTATAGGCACTATTGCATCTTTAGGGATGTCTTGTCATGCTGATCATTGTTTTGCTCCATAGGTGTTATAGTTGGGTAGGCATTGATTGGGAGGAGGACCACCCCTATCAGTGGACTGGGGGAGGGACATGGGAGGAGAAGAGGGAAGAAGGGTGGAGTCGGAAAGGGATGAGGAAGGGGGCTACAGCTGGAATACAAAGCGAACAAATTATAATTAATAAAAAAATAAATTAATTGAAAAAAGACAAAATGAATCATTTTTCTGATTAATATCCATGAAAAGTTTCACAAGATAATTCATGTCCAGGATTTTATTAAGACTCATAGGATTCTTCTAAGAAAAGGTGTTTATGCTCCAGAAACTCATGTACCACTAATCTTTCTTTTGTTCTACAAAGATGTCATTTTTTCTGATCTAGTGCTGAGAAAAAAAACTAATGCTGTAGCCTTGTAATATAATTTAAAAACGTCTAACCATTGAGGTAAAGATTTATCAATAAAAATTAAGGTTTAAAAAGTTAGACATGGAAAGAAGACAATTACCAAATAAAAAATTACAATTGATATTCACATCAGCTATAAACACAGGATCCAGAGAATATAGTTGAAATTTTGTGGATGTTTTGAACACACACATACAACACTCACACACCCCTGGTGTTAAAATTTATTTTCTAGAAAGATGGAGACCAAACCAAACTCTTCCTTATTCTCAAGAGCATATCATAAGTCATCTTGTGGAAACAACGAATATGCGCAGTGGCCCAGACTATGCCCATGGACTGTGCCCACAGCTATGCCCTCTATGTTGATGTGTTCTCACCTTGAAAGTCGTGGTACCATAGAGCTTGGTGGTATGAACCGTCTCTGGAAGCACATTGGTGATATTGGTTATGAATTCCTCCAGGTATTTACAGGACTTTTCCAAGTGTGTTGTATTGATGATAATCTGGACAAGCTAGAAAACAGTAAGCACATGCCATGCTCATTCAGCTATTCACCCGCAGATGATGGCTCAGAAGGTACCTGAGCTGTCAAGAGGGTGTTTCGCAGGCTGCCTTACAGGAAGCTTCCTCCAAGAATACTCTCCACACTTCCTGGGGTGCCTCCTAGTTCCCCAGTTAAAGCAACCTTTGCACTATGTAGTAAATACATTCTTTTATTTTCATTTTTATAAGTTAAACTTTCATAGTGGTGACACACTCTTTTAAGCCAGCACTCAGGAGGCAGAGGCATGCGGATCTCTGAGTCTGAGGCTAACCTGGTGTAAAAGAGAGAGCCAGGATATCTGGGGCTACGCAAAGAAACCTTGTCTCAAAAAAAAAAAAAAAAAAAGAAAGAAAAGAAAAAAAGAGGCTAGTCTTAAACATAGGCCCTACAAAAGAAATATAATTGTCAAATGAATCAAATGAATAAACATCCAGTAAAGCAATAAGCGTAACTAAAAAAGCAACGGATATTTCAAAATTAGGCCTGAGGAACACAGAAATGTCAGACAAGATTATGAAAACCCAACAACATATCTTAGCTCATAAGAGAAATAACCTGAACCCAGAAGGCAGAGAAAAGAAAATCCTTGATCTTGACAGAGTTTTCCCAATGTTATCAGTCTGTTTCCTCAGATATGAAATACACATAATAATTTCTGACGTAGACTGTCACTCTGAACATTAAATGTTCTGTTATTATTATCCCTCTTCAAAAAATCCTTAATGAGGTTCATTCTGGAGCTCAAGGTGTGGCTCGATAGTGGAGTCTGTGCTTGCTTGGATTCATGAGACCTTGGGTCTGTTGCACACACAGTCCCAATCACAAGCCCTGCTAAATAAAGACCACCCTCATTACAATGCAGAAGGATGAGAAAGAATACAAGAATTTCATTTATCTGATCTTTTATGTATATCATCTTTTCAAAACCTGGGCACAGGTCCAATCAGCATAATGATTATTTCTATACTGCCATAGCAGAAATAGGAAGAAAGCAGCTTTCTGTCAATCCCGTAAGTTAACAGGAACAGTCAGGCCATCCGACTTTCATCAGAGTGTAGGGTGGCAGCCCTGGAGCCCAGCACGCTTCTAAGTATTAGACTGTGTGTCTAATCTGAAATTACTTTGGAGTTACTTGCTATGGAGTTACTCTGAAAAAGTAAAGAGGGTCCAAATCAGGAGGCAGAAAGGGAAAAAGAAAGGCCATCCCTTCTGTTCCTTAACTCCATTTATGTTCTCCATAGTCTACAGGAGGGAAGCTTTCTCTCTTTCTCTGTATTTCATTTTTCATTTCTATGAGATTATGTGTGGTGCAAGGCTGGAACAGATGGGGGATGCCAGTCTAGAGGGTGGGTGGCTTTGGGCCCTTTAATCCAATAAAACCTACTATTTTGAATATGCTTGCTTAAAAATTAAAAACTAAGAAGGACCAGCCATTGTCAGTGCAGAGTATCACACAAACAAGTAGATCTAGAACCAGAAAGTGCACACTCGCCTCCTTTGGAACACCTGACTCTGGGCCAAAGTTCACAGTTCATTTTTAGGACATGGATGCTGGCTTTCTACCAATAGCTCTTCAGTAATGAGCAAAGCAACCTAGCATGCAACTTAAGGTCTTCCTGGAGAACTTGGGAAATAGCTACTTGATGCAGCTGTGAGACATTCCATCAGATGAAAAGAGCTCAACACTGAGACTAACTTTTTCTATTACTCCTCAGAGGCCACCAGACAATGAAAACCTGTGCAGAAGCTCTTGCCAATCATCCAAAGTATGAGTTTACAGATGATATCTTGGATACAAGTCTTCTTCCCTGTCTCCACAACAACCCTTTGACATTGAAGTGCTCTGGAAGAAAAGCACACCCTCTAGAATGAGCAATATACTACACTCTGTTGATCCTGTTTCTCTTTTACAGGACAAAAATCACACTAACACTTTAGATCATCTAAATCAAATTATTCTTAAACAAATTTTATTTAAATTGTTTGAGTTTCAGACAATGTACCATATCTTAGATATTTTCATCTCTTCAAGCCCAATTATCCCCTTCTTTAACTGGAGGCCTTCTCCCTAACAAGCCCTCCCCAACTTTCATGTCTTCTTTCTGTATGTGATCCACTGAGTTAAATTAGCATTTTTGGCCGGATTGGGGGGGGGGGGATCATTTACTGGAGCAAGGGCAACTTATTGGGGTCTACATCACTTAAGAAAATGGCACCCTGTCCCAGAAAACTATTAGGTTCCAGTAGTCCTCCAGGAAGGATGAATTTCACTGTTAGGTGGTGGCAAGTTTGTCTTGATGTAAATGTCAAAAATGAAAGAGAGTTGAATTGAAGAACTAGAGATTTCCATTTTAAATTCAGCACTACCTATAAGGAACACATTCTGTCCATCAAAAGAAAACCTAATATAAGAGGAATCATGTCATGCTATACAAGTTAAAAATAAAACAGTAGCAGTCAAAAAGAAAATTGTTCTGTTTTGCAGGATTTTGGCAGTTTAAAAAAATGAAAAAGGAGGCAGCTATGCTGGGTACAGTAGTAATTTATCACGACTTTAAAAAGATCTGTCAACACAAGAGATCATTATGAACTGCATCAGCAGGCTGTCAGTCACTCCCTAAGTGTTTTACTGCCAAGCACAGAATAGACTATTTAAACATTCCAGGATTATAATGCATGCCTTGTCATTTTCACAGGGAATACTGCCTGTTAATGAGGTCTGACGATCTTCACACCTGAATGACAGTTTCCAAAACCCTTGCAAGGGAGAGGCTTTGGAGGTTAACCGTGCACTTGAAGATGAAATGAAGTGATTTGAAATACAGACTATCAACAGAGTCTGAGCTCCTTCCATATTATCATTAAACACAATTCACATTCCAAACTATCCTTGATAGTGTTTCAAGAACAGAGAATTTACAATAGACTAGATATTCACTACCTCATATAAAGTGCTATGAGAACAGTCCAGGAATAAAAATTATAGTGCAAACAGCAACTCTTGAAACTAAATGACAAAAATCACAATCTATCAGGAGGCTGAAGCATGAAAAGTTGAGAGTTTAAGTCGGGCCTGGGCTACATAGAAAGGTCCTGTCTCAAAATAAAAAAACAAAAAGCAAAACCAAAACTTCACACAAATCTCACTAAGAATGAGAAATTTTTCTATCTCTCCTTGCTGGTATGAAAGCAGATGTGATAGAGCCTCAGCAGAGTGCTTTATGGGAACCACTGCCCTGGGCTTCCTGTATGCCCCAAGGAACATGAGGCACTAAGGCAGAAATTCCACCACAGACAAGGCCAGAAAGGAAACGTGGCCATCATTAAAAAGCATCAGCCCTGCATTCCTAGTATGTTTTTGTTCTCAACTAAATTACTATATGCATATATTCTCTTAGATCTGCTTTGTTTTGTTTTATTTCCAGAAGCAGAGAATTACCACCCCGAAACTTTCTGGATTGACCCTAAGTCACATATTTTTTCCCTTAGCATTTATTCTTAATTTTTTATAATTTTAATTTTTTATATTAATTACAGTTTGTTCACTTTGTATCCCAGCTGTAGTCCCCTCCCTTATTCCCTACCAATCCCACAGTTCCTCCTTCATCTCCTCACTGCCCTTCTTCAAGTCCACTGATAGGAGAGGTCCTCCTCCCCTTCCCTCTGACCTTAGCCTATCAGGTCTCATAAAGACTGGCTGCATTGTCTTCCACTGCATATTTGCAGATGATATGATAGTATACATGAGTGACCCCAAAAAGTCAACCAGAGAACTCCTACAGCTGATAAACACCTTCAGCAAAGTAGCTGGATACAAAATTAACTAAAAAAAAAAAAAAAAAAAAAAAATCAGAAGCCCTCCTGTATATCAAAGAGAAAAGGGCTGAGAAAGAAATTACAGAAACTACACCCTTCACAATAGCCACTAAAAACATAAAGTACCTTGGTGTGATTCTAACCAAGTAAGGGAAAGACATGTTTAAAAAAAACTTCAAGTCTCTGAAGAAAGAAATTGAAGGACATATCAGAAGATGGAAAGATCTCCCATGCTCATGGATCGGTAGGATTAACATTGCGAAAATGGCTATTCTGCCAAAAGCACTCTACACATTTAATACAATTTCCATCAAAATACCAACACAATTCTTTATACAACTTGAAAGAACAATTCTTATTTTCATATAGAGAAACAAAAAACCCAGAATTGCCACAACAATCCTGTACAACAACAGATCATCTGTTAATATCTCCATCCCTGCTCTCAAACTGTGCTACAGAGTAATAGTAACACAAACGGCATGGTACTGGCAGAGAAACAAAATGGTGGATCAATGGAATGGAACAGAAGACCCAGAAATAAATCCACACACTTACGGATACTTGATTTTTGACAAAGAAGCCAAAACCATTCAATGAAAAAAAGATAGCATCTTCAACAAATGGTGCTGGTCTACCTGGATGTATTCATGCAGAAAAATGCAAATAGATCCATATTTATAACCATGAACAAAACGAAAGTCCAAGTAAATCAAAGACACATATGCTAATGGCTCCCAAATGCTAAATTTTACCGAGACAAAAGCCAAGTAGCAATAGAAACACTAGTCTCATATACAAGAATGCATTAACCTAAGAGTATGAGCGATATTATCTCCTCTCATCCCAGCAGGCTCAGAAAGCTTTTAGAAGATCTAAACAACTAAAATGCCAAAGTCAATGGACTACTAGGTACAATTTCCAAGGTTTCATTCAAAATCCTGACTTGCGCATAAAGTATCTCAGCATAACTAATGTGAGCACTGTCCCTGATATTGGGGCTAGGGGTGGGAGGCATATAGCTTGTGAGACATAGCTGGCCGTCTGTCTAAATTACAAAGAAAACAAAAGCAGCAGCTATTACTTTAGGTCTTCTAGGTGCTTCTAGGTGACCACCCCCTCTGCGTGGGGAACAGTCTTGCCAGGCCACAGAAGAGGACAATGCAGCCAGTCCTGATGAGACCTTATAAGCTAGCGTCAGTGGAAGGGGAGGAGGACCTCCCTTATCAGTGGACTTGCAGAGCGGCATAGGAGATGAAGGAGGGAGGGTGGGGTTGGGAGGGAATGAGGAAGGGGGCTATAGCTTAGATACAAAGTGAATAAACTGTAATTAATATAAAAAATGAAAATTTAATAACAATAACTAAATGAAAAAAGAATCATTTTGTAATGTTTTAAAACTAAAACAAAATATTAAGTTAATATTATATTGTTCATTAATATAATCTCAATAATTTTTATCTTCGTTAGGTATATTTTATTTTATTTTTTTTAAAGCTTGACTTGTCTTCTAACAAATTCGTTTATTAATGAAAAAAAAACTGTTTTAAGCGTAGCTTCATCACAGTCAATGTTTCCTCATGGTGTTCTTTATCTCAATGCAGCGAAATAAAGCATCCATGCCAGTGTTCGTCTGGCTTGTGGTTGTCTCTGATATGCACTGGTGTCATTAACGATTTGATGAATTTCACCATCATCCTTGACTTTCTACAGTTAGAAATGTCCTTTATTCCTAGAGAAACTGAGCCTGCAGCTTTCCCTCCTGAAGAAAAAATACCTCCACCCTAAGCTCTCACCTTGGGCACAGAACCTTCCTTCATGACTGCATGGTGACGTGTGAACGTGAAACCCTAAATTCCAAAGGAAAGGAAATCCTTTACCTTCCTAAATTTTAGGACTAGTTATTACTAAGTCAAATAGTTTACACTCTGCTACAGATGAATGAAATGACCTTTCTCCCTTTACTAGAAGAGCTGGTAAGAGCATAACTTCCTCTCTCATGCCTCAATCACCAAACACCAGGCTTTTGCTAAAAAAGGAACAATTTACCACTCAGATCGAGAAGACATCAAAACCAATAAAAGCCAAGGAAGTCTAACATGTGTCATGGACACAAGTGCTAAAACCCAGGCATCAATAATGCAGACAGGCGAAGTGCAGGCACAGGATGTATGGCCTGCTCACCCTCACTAAGACCTGCTTTACCTCAGTAAGGCCAATGTTCTTCCTCTTAATGACATTCTGCAGAGAGTTGCTCAGAGTCCTGGTCAGCAACAGGTTTGTCGACTTACGGATCATGTCATCAACTTCCGTGGAGCTGAAATGTAAATGATGAACTCAGTTACAGACCAGACAAAAAGATTCTGCAAATGAGCAGGCGCTGGCATCCTTGCAGCAGTAACAGTTGTAGCTGGCACTAGAGTTGGTAAAGCTGGCAGTAACAGCTACTGTTTACTGTGTGTCAGGAAGTGTTCCAAGTACTTTCAAATATATCTTCAGACTTTATTCTGTTAAAAGTTTACTTCGCCTTCACTATTAAAAAAATATCTTTAGAACTCTGTGGAGCTTATTTTTTTAATTTTTAAAATATTTTTATATTAATTACAGTTTATTTGCTTTAAATCCCAGCCGTAGCTGCCATTCTCACTCCTTCCCAATCCTTCCCTCTCTCCCTCTTCTCTTCCCTGCCTCTCTCCAAGTCCACTGATAGGGGAGGGCCTCCTCCCTTCCATCTGACCCTAGCCTATCAGGTCTCATCAGGACTGGCTGCATTGTCCTCCTCTGTGGCCTGGCAAGGCTCACCTCCCCAGTGGGAGGTGATCAAAGAGCCAGCCACTGAGTACATGTCAGAGACAGTCCCTATGTCCCTTACTGGGGCACCCACTTGGACACTGAGCTGCCATGGGCTACATCTGTGCAGGGTTCTAGGTTATCTCCATGAATGGTCCTTGGTTGGAGTATCAAGTCTCAGAAAAGACCCCTGTGCCCAGATGTTTTGGTTCTGTTGCTCCCCTTGTGTAGCTCCATCCTCTCTAGGTCTTTCTAACTCCCTCTTCTTTCATAAGTTTCTCTGCACTCTGCCCAAAGCTTGGTTATTAGTCTCAGCATCTGCTTTGATACCCTGCTGGGTGGAGTCTTTCAGAGGCCTCTGTGGCAGGCTCCTGTCCTGTTCTCTGTCTTCTCCTTCTTCCAGTGTCCATCCTGTCTGTCTTTCTGAGTGAGGATGGACAGTTCTACCCAGGGTCCTCCTCCCTGTCTGGTTTGTTTGGGTGTACAGATTTGTGTAGGTTTTCATATTTGAGCACTTTAAAAAATGCAGACTAGCTTGCACTATTTCCTCAAAAGAGTAATCTGAATTGGTGAAACTTTACTTTGGATTTTATACTTTCAGTATCAATTATATTTTTACACACTTATCTCCCCCCCAACACCTATGACAGTTAAAACTTAAAAAAAAAAGTTTATGTCCTCTTTAACTCGATCGTCTTCCTCATCACCTAAAAATCACCCGTTAGTCTCCATCCTACATGTAATACTGCACATATGTGTTTGTTTACAAATATGAATGTGACATTATAGGCTAGAATCTTCATGAGGGAGAACATCAAAGTTTTATTTCTGATATTGAATGACCTTGTTTGAAATTAAACTTTCAAAATAACCCCTTTTCCTGCAATTTAGTGATTTTTTTTTACAGCTTAACAGTATTCTTATCTTTTATGTACCAATTTTTTCATTAATAAATCATGTCTTGATTGACATTTAGACTGGTTCCATCTCTTGCAATAGTGAAGAGCGCAGCAGAGAACATGGATGTACAAGTATTTCTGAGGTAGGATGTGCCGTTTTCTGGAAATTAATAAGGAGAAGCTGGGTCACATGGTGACTCCATTTTTAATTTTTGAGGCACCTCTAACTGATTTTCATAATAGCTATATTAATTTACACCCCAACAGCAATGAATAGGCTCCTCTCTCTTGATATTCTCCCCAACATTTGCTGTTGGAGTTCCTGACGATAGTCACTAAGACTGAGGTAAGGTGTTATTTTAAGTAATTTTAATGCTCTGTTAAAATACTTTTTCTCTCCTCTTTTCTGTTGCCTCAGACTTACCCAGAAAACATAGCCTTCAAACTCTTTTCTTTCTTTTTAAATTTAGAAAGACAAAACACCCCAAAGTCCTTTACAAAGATTTACTTACAAAATGTGAAGAAAAAAAAATCTATATGTGCACTGTACTTTTAATTAAATGTCACGGTATCATTTTATTATAGGAGCCCCTGGTACTGATGAGAATTTACAAAATGTCCGCCTGTCTTCAGAATTTATGAAGAGCACAGCTTTTGGAAGAGAAATTATTCATACAAATAATAATAATAATTGTTACTGTCATATAAGAAACCTCCATCTAACACTTCTTGGACTTTGTGACAATCTGTCTGAGAGAACTGTTGCTATATGCATTTCCCATGTGACAGACTAAGTCTGTTCAGATCCAACCCTAAGAAGAGGTGATATCCGACTCCACGTTACAGGGCAAACATACTCTGAGACAGACGGCAATGCCAAGCCAGTAGTAAAAGGCAAGCACAAAATTCTCTCAAGTTGAGGGGATACTTCATTCAAGCTGTCAATACGAAACTCACCAAAGGGAAGTTCTGGGTCAAACTTAATAAGCATGGATCAACTCTCAAAAGAAAAAAAAAATGCACAGAAATAAAGAGAAAAAAACACTGTATTATAACATTAAGTTAAAAAAAAAAAAGTTTTACTGGGCACACGCCTGCGATCCCAGCACTTGTTGAGGCAGAAGCAGGCAGACCTTTGACTGTTCCAGGCCAGCCTTGTCTACAAAGCGAGTCCAGGACAGCGAATGCTGAACAGAGAAATCCTGTCTCAAAACACCAAAACCAAAGCAAACCAAACCAAACCAAACCAAAGTTTCATTTAAAACTTAGGATTCAAATAAGTATTTAGATAATTTACCTATATTATCCCAATATTATCTTTCTCTCAAAAAGTAAGTGACAAAAGGCCATTTTGCAATTGACTGGCACATAACAAGACCTTAGAGACTGACCTCTGATGTGAGTATTATCTGATCATGGTGGGAGGATTGTAAGGCTACAAACATGGTATGGAAGCCATGAGGAAATAATGTCTTTGTGGTGACCTTTCAAAAGTAATCTGATTTCAAGAGGGTTTTTCTCTAAAATTAACCTTGGTTTGACATGGGAAAATTAACTATACAGTCCCCAAGTTTCATTCTTTTCATAGTAAGAACGATAATTAGCAGCGCTTTTGACACTACAGAGGAGGCCATTGCAGGAAGACAGAAACAGCAAGGTCTGTGTGGGCTACAGATGAGATTCAAGGCTCTGCTGAGCACCTTAGCATCTGAAAGTAACATCTCATTAGTAGAGTACTTGCCTAGCATACCAGAAGACCTATGTTCAACCCCAAGTGGTAGAGCGGTTAATAAAGAAGTGACTCAACCTCACTCCTAATTATACTTATTTCAGAAAAACTTGACACAGGATGCATTCTGTTCATCGATTCTTTTTGCAAATTTATCAAGCACAGGTAGAGGTGTAGTGCTGAACCCTTTTCAGGCTTTGTTGGTCTGAGCGGGGTGGCTGCAGTGCACATCCTGAATCCCTGCAGCACTGGTCATCAGCTGGCCTGGTCTTAAGATAGGTAAGATGCTCCTTGGAGATAAAGGCCTTCCTTTCAGCTCCTCAGTGCCTTCACTACTAAGGAGCACCCAACTAAATGCTTGCCAAAGTACAAACAGACCAAACAATAAATGAGCAAACAAACAAAGAAGCCTGTGGTTAAGGCAGACACAGAGCAGAGCAACAATACGGTTTCCAAAGACTGTCTTATTGTTCCATTCTCACTGTAAATTTGTATCAAGCAAAATGGAATGGTAAAGTGAGAAGGTTAAACTACCATTTCCAGTACTTTTTCACTGATATTGTTTAAAAGGCAATATATACTTTTTATGTCATTTAAAAGCTTTTTCCTTTCACCATAACTATAAAAAGCAGTGTCCCACAGTGAAAGCCTATACCAGGGCTTCCAAACACATGGCTGAGGAAACAGCAAACATTTCACAGAGTATACATTTGAAGACAGTAACAGTCTCAGCACTGGACTGGTTCCAGTGTCTCGTGTTATACCTTAGATGAAGATCTTCTGAAAACTTCAGGCAAGCGTAGATAAATTCTTTAATCTGGTTGTAAACTTTTGGCACAAATTCAGAGAAAGGAAACTTTTTGGGAAATGGCTGCTGTAAATGCAAGAATTAATGAAAGCAAGTTACTAAATCCATTGGAGATACTTGAAAATTTTTTAAAATGCAAAATAAAAACCCTTTGTCCTCCTTTGTGAAGTATTAACTTAACAGTATCAAATGTTAAAAAATCTCCCAAGAGATTTCTGATACTAAGAAAAGTAATATAAATACAGTAATTAGTTTCCGTGTCAGCCTAACACAGTCACAGTGATGTGTGAAGAAAGAATCTTAATCAAGAGAACGCCTGCACAGAATTGGGCTGCAGGCAAGTCTGCAGGGCATCTCCCTGCTAACTTGTTGTTTATTGTTTTAAGCTTATACACGCGCAATGCTTTGCCTGCATGTATGCATGCTCACCATGTGCGCTCAGTGCCCAAGGGAGCCAGAGATGGAGGCAAGTCACCCAGGAACTAGAATCATAGGTGGCTGGGAGCTGCCATGTGTGTGCTTGGAATAGAACCTGGGTCCTCTGCAAAAGCAGCCACAGTGCTGAGGCATCTCTCCAGCCCCAAAGCACTTCTTAGTTCATTAGTGATGTGGGAGGGCCCAGCTCACTGTGGGGAGGTAGTTCTGGATGAAATAAGAAAGCAGACTAAACAAACTATAAGCAAACAAGCCAGTAAGCAGAAATCATTTATGGCTTCTGCTTCAGTTCCAGCCTCTAGGTTCTTGCCTTGAACTCCTTCCCTGACTTCTCTAGATGGTGCACTATGACCTAAGAGTTGTAAGCCAGAATAACTCTTTCCTCCCCCAAAATACTTTTGGTCATGGTGTTTCACCATAACAATAGAAATCCTAAGGCAAACACTGGTACCAAGTTGTGGGGTGTGACTGTGGCAGACCTGCCCATGTGATATTGGGAGAACTGTAAAAGGACTCTGGAACTTTGAGCTAGAAAAATCATTGAGCATTTGAGGCTTAATGAGCTGTCATGGGAACTTAATAGTTATGAATGATGAAAGCATTGCAGAGATGGAGTGCTGGCTTGTGAAGTTTCAAAGGCAAGTTTGAGAGTCCCTTAAAGACTATAATAGGCATTTTGATAACTTGAGCTTTAAGAATATGTGGTTACCTGGGACTGAAGAATTGTCCGTAATTAAAAAGAGACCAGAACTACATATGTAAAAACATTTCCTTTACAACAATTATTGATGCTGGTTAGTTAAAGCTTAGAAATTAATGATGACTAAGAAGAGACCAGCATAACTGAGCATAAATCTAGGAGTATTTCCTTAGGGTCAGCACACAGAAGCTGTGGTGCAGAGAGAGCCAAGGCTGCATCTCAGGCTGGTAGCTGAATTTGGTAATGTGTAAGAGTCCTCCACTTGGTATTGATATTTAAGGCTCCAAAGATCATGGAGAGCAGCTATGGTATGGCATCATGAGAGGTTAGGAGAGGTTACTGGCTGCAGGAAAAAGACCACCATTTTGGATATGCCACTACCATGGGACAACCACCAAGAAAAGCATAGCTGCCTGAGCCTAGGAAACAAACTGCACACTGCTGAGGGCAGAGCCACAGAGGTTCCCTGACCATTTGGGGCCCAGAGGATCTTGAGTGCTTCCACACATCAAACACTGAATCTCTTCCATTGTGGAATTTGGGGTTTGATTTGGTTTGACTGTGACTGTGCCCTGGTTCTTCCTTTTTGGAGTAAGGAAGTAGTTAACTTATTTTCGATTTTACAGGAACCCACAGTTGAGAGCCATTGGAATTTTAGAGAGGTTTTGGAATTTTACAGAGATTTTGGGCATTTTAAAGAAATGATGGATATTCTAGAGTTACTGTGAACTTGAAAAAGACTTGAGCTATTTTAGAGTCTGAGACTTTTTAAGTGTCTGATTTTTTTTTAAAGACTGCAGAAGTTTTAAATGTTTTGTACTAAGATATTTATGTACTATTGATATTTATATGAGACATTATATGAGATATTATATGAGACATGGATGATAAACAAGAGAAAATGTTACGCCTTAAGAAGCAATGTGTTTGTATGTCAAGTTGACAAGGGGTCAACTGTGCTGGTTAGTTTTTATGTCAACTTGATGCAAACTAGGGTGATATGGGAAGAAGTAGTCTTATAAAGAAAAAGCATCAATAAGATTGGCCTATAGGCAAATGTGTAGGGCATTTTCTTGATTGATGACTGGGAGAGAGCCTAGCCTATAGTGGGTGCTGCCACCCCGGGGAAGGTAGTGCTGGGTAGTATAAGAGAACAACAGGCTGAGCAAAGCATGAATCAGTAGGCCCGTAAGCAACACTATGTCAGCTCATCCCTCTAAGTTCCTACCCGGTTTAAGTTCTTGACCTAACTTCCCCAATGATGAATGTGCCATGGAACTGTATGATTTCCAGTGTCCATGCTGCTGTAAACAGCAAAAGACGAGAGCTCAAGCCTGTACTTTCACATTTGTCATATGCAAGCCTTAAGTGCAGTGGAGGGCTTGAGTAGAAAGGGGCAGCTTGAGGGAAACCAGTCTGCACTGTAACTTTGGTGGGGAAAACAAAAACAACAAAAACATTCAATGCACTGTCAAAACAATAGAATTATATATCCCAAAGAGCAAATTTAAATATCTGGTTTTAGAAGAAACTATTTGAACAGTACAACAAAGTTAAAATTGTCAAATTTAACAAAATTGCAATATGCTAGTGATCTGACACTTTGAGATTAGGACCTCAAAGCCTTTTGCAGAAACCCAATGAGTAATTCTGTACCTCTAAGACCCAGAAGGAATTCTTTTAAGATGTTTTAAAATCTACTGAACTGAAGTTTCTCAGTTTCAGAGAAATTAATCTAATGAAGAGAGAGAGAGAGAGAGAGAGAGAGAGAGAGAGAGAAAGCTTACTTTAAAGTATCCCTTACCTTTTCCAGTTCTACATCTTGAAATGGGAATTGTCCTACAACCTTTTTGTATATCTCTTCACTCGTTACTGGTATGGGACTATAGTTGTCAGAATCAAGTATGTTTCTATAAGAAAATGAAAAGAAAAGGGGAAGGAGAGAGGACGGAGGTTTAAGCACAGGGACATTTTCTCAGGCAGTCTAATGACTGCATGTTTACCACAGCTCACATGAACACTTCCTGCTCTTACTATACTCCTACAATTTAGCCACTTGGTTTGGGCATTTTAAAAAGAGGAACTTAGCTCTCAAGCAAGTGGAACACAACTGTCAACATGACCTTGTAGTGCCTGTGATTTACAAATGGGTAGGAGAGTAGGGCAAGTGGGAAGTAAATGAAGAAAGAATATTGGCGCTTATCATTTCAGTAATATCTACTGGATCATAATCACAGCTTTAATTTTGTACCAGATAGTGTATTCTTAGGAACTGTCTTATAGGAAAAATAACTTCTAACAAGAAATCCATGCTATGTTCTTTCTCTTCTATCTTCTGCTTTGTACTAATCACAAATGTTTTCCAGTAATAAGTTTTCTATCCTTGAGTACATTAAGAGTTCTCCAAAAGCAGAAACTTTCCTAAGAAAATCTAAAAAGGAAACCACAGAAAGCATAGAATGCTGCGGCTATTCCATGTTGCCTCTACTACCTGCAGAAATAACTCTCCCATAACAGCAATTATCAGTACTACATACACTGGGATTCTGGAAGAGTGCATATTTACATTAATGTAGAGATGAGTTGAACTAAATAATATGCTCATGAATTGTGAAAAGTAAGATTAAAAGATGAAGGTGAATGGTTAAAAATAAAACAGCTTGAAAACAAGATTAGTTGACAAGGAGACACAGGCAAAAGACAAGAACTCCTGAAGTTAAGAACCTACTGGGATTCCTGAACCTGTATGTTAATTTGGGCAAGGGAGGCATTTTTATAATACTATCCTGACTGACCCAGACCATAGGAGGTCCTCTAACCACTAGTATCTTCTTCGACGCCGTCAATGTCCTTACTTTCCATTGTGCAAGTCTTTCTTCTCCTTGACTATGTTTATTTTATTTATGATTAGGTTTTATTTTCTTTTATTTTTTGTTCAGTATGCTTTCTGAGAATATAATGAATGGTACATGGGATTGTATTCCTGAGTTCTTTTTCATCATGCTTGTCCTAGAATATTAAAAAACAAAACAAAACTGCTATGTTCTATATGTTGACTTATGTTTGGCAACTTTGCTGAGGGTGTTTGATAGCTCTAAAAGATTTCTAGTGGAGTCCAGAGGTCCCATAAGTATAGAATCATACCATCTACAAAGATAAATGTATTCCTCTGCTCCCCTTTGTATTCGTGATTTTTTTCTTTCTCTTGCTGTATTGCTGTGGCAAAGAGGTCAAGTACTAAACTGAATTAAGATTAAAGCAAGAAGATAGCTTTGTCTCACTTCTTTTAGAAGACAGGTTCAAAATACGAAGAAACTGAAATGAGATAACAAAAGATGTGTAATAACAAAATAGTCCCAAGAGACTTATCATAATTGTATGCATGCTACAATAACTATTTAAAGAACATGCTTAAAATATGAACTGCAATAAGCCATTTCTCTGCTTAGAAGCATAATGATGAGATATAATATGAGTTACCAAAAAGGTGAACAGTTAAAAAAAAGTAAGCCAGGCCTAGTAAGACACACCAGCAATTCCAGCACTTAGAAAATTGAGGAAAGAAGAGCAGAAGTTCCGGGTCAGTCTGAGATAAAAGAGATTCTGTAAAATAAAATGTTTTCCTAAGGTTCTGCTACTCACGGTGGCTTAACTATCACTACCAAACTAAGTATGATTATAAATTAAGAGTATAAATTAAGAGTAAGAAGACTATAAATTAAGAGTAAGAAGACAAGATAATCTAGATGGTGTGAACCAATAAACCTGGCCTTATCCAAGGAATCAAACATAACATACTGTGTTGGGCTTCCCCAACACAGTAAGAACTAATATATTGACATAGGATACCTTGAAAGATCATTTTGCAAATCATTAAGGCTCATTAGAATTCTGAATCATAAATTGGAGGAGTTAGAAAAATATAAGCCATGTGCTCTTGGTGCTCATGTGCTCTGTAAAGTCCACAAAGGTACATATGCATAGGGGAGGGAAGTCTGGGAACGTGCAGACAGCTGCAGCTCTGTACCTGAAAACGCCTGCCCACTTCTTCAGCAGAGTCTCGCTATACTGGTCTCTGATTTCTAACAGCATATCAAAAAGCTGATTTACAGGAAAACCATACACCTGAAAGAAAGCAGATTTGTTTTCAAGGAGACTTTCAAATAAATGGAAGAAAGATTAAAAGATGTTTCGTTATTTAAACAACAAAGAAAAAAAATGAAGCAAAATTATTCCAGTCTCTGCCACATATCTAGTGCTTACCTCTCAAAACTTCAAAGATACACATGGAAATTTCTAGGTCAATCATAAAAGTGATAAAAATTAAAAGCAACATATAACGTCAGGTGACCCCCACCCCGGCAGCTTACTGCACACAACAATTCTCCAAGAGCCGAGAGAAAGTACATCTGCCGCCATGCAGCAGCCCAGCTCTATCACAGCCCAGACAACTGCCGCTATAGAGACGGTGGAGGACGACACAAGGCAGCACAGGTGCCATGCGGGAATCACAACACTCCGAAGTCTAACTCTGCAAATGGTCCACGTAATTCTTCTCTGAGAGAGGAAAAAAAGGTAGGAACTTTTTATGAGCATGAAATCCAAGAATATGCTATTAAAAAAAGTAAAAAGAGAGTTGGGTGCTGGTACACACCTTAAATACCAGCATTTGGGAGGCAGAGGCTGGTGTATCTCTGTGAGCTTGAGGCCAGCCTGGTCTACAGAACAAGTTCCAGGACAGCCAATGCTATCCAGAAAAACTCTGTCTCAAAAAACAAAACAAAATAAAATAAAACAAACAAACCCCCAAAACAGACAAAAGGAAGTAAGAAGATCTAGCTCTAGGAAAAGAACAAACAGTAAAAACAATCAAAGGAGTGAACCCAACTTGAGAGAGAAGACAATGATTCATAGCTGATGGCACCCTACTTTAGAAAGGCAGGTGTCAACACGCACAGACCTGAAGTGTGTCAGCAAAGAGCACAATGAGGTTCTTCAAGTCTAACACCAGGTTTGGATCAGAACAGTAGGACTAAAGGAAATGGGAAAAAAGAAAAAAATATCTCGTTAAAAAGTTATATTTTTATTTATTAAATTGTCTAACGCACCAGCTGCTAAAAGCACTTATAACCAGGAGTCTAACCATTTCCTAATACAAGGTACCAAGGTATCAGAGAAACTAAGGAGACAGGGTTCAGTAGGGTGATTGATATCTTTAACATGTGGAAACACACTTTGATTTTCTTTGGTTATGGAAGAAAAAAAAATGGGGCCAGAAAGTTGGCTCAGTACTCAAAGGTGCGTATTGCCCAATGACACAAACCAGAAGACTTGAATTAAATTTCCTAAACATACATAAACTGACTGTAAAGTTATCCTCTCATCTCCCCACATGTACAGCATGAATGCCCCCATCAAAGGCAGACACAAAAATAATAAACTAAAGCACAAAAATTTTAAAGAAAGCAAAATAGATAGATTATTTTTCTAATTAACTTATTTTTTTTAATTGATTACAGTTTGTTCATTCTGTATCCCGCTATGGCCCCCTCCTTTTTCCCCTACCAATCCCAACCTCCCTCCCTCATCTCCTCTCCCGCCCCTCCCTAAGTCTACTGATAGGGGAGGTCCTCCTCCCCTTCCCGAAGACCCTAACATATCAGGTTTCATCAGGACTGGCTGCATTGTCTTCCTCTGTGACTGATTATTTTAAAATTAGCAATAATAAAACACTTTGTAGCAAAACTTATGGTATGTGCCTAATGCCATTTTCAAAATAACTGTATATATTTCTTTATATGCAAGCATTAGAAAATACAAAAGACCGAAAATAACCTGACCAAACACTGTACTAATAACACTATGGAAAATATCACCAAATAACCATAATTATGTAATAAAATAATGAAGAAAATTACAAGTGACAAACTGGTGATATAAAAAAGCATGAAGAAAAAAAGAAAAAAAATATTTAAAAGGCATGAATATTTGTTCTTTTAAACCAGATAAACATGAAATCAGTAAGACAGGCATCTTAGATAACTCTGATTATACAATAGAGAAAAATGGCATTAAACAGTACACTGGGTATAAATTACGCATAAATAGGCAGAAAACAAGAATTGTAAATAAGCACTGTATATAAACTTCCATGCACACATCTGATTACTTGGCTGGCCTGGAAGACATTTTCCACAGGAGGATTAAAGAATACACGCTCCTAATTTAAAATGTCATCAATTCTGATACTGCAGTTTCCTCTGTTATAACTTTGTTACCTGTCGGACACGTAAGCTTTCAGGGTCTGATGGCAACATACTCCATTTCCCCATAATGATGATGGATTTGAGTTTCTCCTGTTACTGTATGTTTTTCTCTTATGAATATTATCTCTTATAAAGGTCCCTTGTCTTTTCGGTGTCAAAATAAATAAATACAAAATAGCCCCCAATCCTCCTGCTTGAAGTACTTCAATATTATTTGCTTTCTAGTCTGTTTGCTTCTCCGTAGGTAAAAAGTGCCCAAGGCACTGTAATGGTATAGCTTTCCTAGACTTCCTGGGTTACCGACGTAACTGGACCTACTCAAGTTACATTATTTTAAGCTTTCTATTTACATTTTTATTTTTCCCAAATGTCCTTCCATGTGTTTAGTGGGTAAGATCTTTTAATTACCTTGTAGTGGTAATTACTTGAAATAACCTGTAGTGTCCATTACATACTCTCTGAATGTAATTCACCTTTAACAGGACTAATTAATGTGACAGTTATGATGAAGAATCCATGTGTTTGTCTGTCAGGATTTGCTGTCAGTTCTCACCATTACTCAAATCTATCACTATAGGCCCCTTTATGGACACTGTTTTCTTGATCCCAGTAAGCTATATTATGAAGTCTTTATTACTATACATGTTTCTTAGCTATTCCTCTCATAATTCCCATCTTTTGTGACTATGGGATAAGCTCCTGACTTTGACTTTGTCTTCCTGATCATGAAATGGCATACAGTCTTCATCTTTGGATTAAATTTCTTTATCTGATACTCATAAATTCCAAGGATGTTTTTATCTTGGATTTTTATCTTGGATTCAGCTTTCTTAGGGTATCTTTCCATTATTTTCTTCTGTTTTAGATCCTTTCATGTTATGAGTAGAGCATAGACAAAAAGGTAATGGCTGTAACCGCAATGGCAGCAGCCCAGTGAGAACTGGCTGATTGCAAGAACCTCTAAGGTGTGCTCACCAGAACTCATCACTCCCCTCAGGAGAAACATTGACTTCAGTGACAATCATTTTCATCTCTTTCCTTGTTTTTCACTTCCAGTTTTTTTTTTAATTGATAGACTTTGTCTTTAGAGCTGCTAAGCTCTTACTTGCTGCTGCTGAAAATATTATACATTCAATTTTAATGTACCCACACTGCCAGAAAAAAATACTCCCGAGACAATTACTGGCACTAGATTAAACTGATAGAGTAAGGAATTCTTATTTTATGCAAATATCAATGAAGTGGTATTCCTGAAATAAGTAAGAGGACTATCACAAGGAGGGAACAGGAGCTCCACAAGGGGAGCAATAGAACCAAAAAATCTGTGCACAGGGGTCTTTTCTGAAACTGATACCACAAACAAGGACCATGCATTGAGATAACTTAGAACCCATGCACAGAAGTAGCCCATGGCAGCTCAATGTCCAAGTGGGTTCCCCAATGATAGGACCAGGGACCATCTCTGACATGAACTCATGGGCTTGCTCTTGGATCACCTCCACCTGAGGAGGGAGCATTTTTACCAGTCCACAGAGGAAGACAAAGAAGCCAGTCCTGATGAGACCTGATAGACTGTGGTCAGATGGAAGGGGAGGAAAACCTCCCCTATCATTGTACTGGGCTAGGGGCATAGGAGAAGAAGAGAGAGGGAGGGTGGGGGAGGGGCTAGGGGAAGGGACGATAGCTGAGATACAAAGTGAATAAACTGCAATTAATAAAATAAAATTTAAAAAAAGTTTAAACGTTGCTATAACGATAAAGGACTATCATGGACAATTGTATAAGGAATGATGAGCAGCCAGCAACAAGACAATTTGACAAGTTAAAAGTTTTAGTAGATGTGTCTACCATCTTGCCTCTAATGCCTCCTATGAGTTAAGCTTAGCAGGTAGTTGGCCAGCAAAACCCAGACATCTTAACCATAGGCATGTCAAGAGGAAAATTGATTGGATAGCTAGAAGAAAAGAGCATAACATTCATTACAACACTCCTTCAGCTATATGTATAAATGTGTATAGCACATGAGGTATTTTCTGAATGAATAAACATGAAGCTCATGAAGATATATTAATAATAATATGTGACTTTGTACTCAGTAAGGATGAAGTAGGACATGTATATGAAATACACAGAATGCTGCTGGGCTCACAGAGAATCATGGACAGATATGAGTAACTCTTATCTGTTAATTCAGTTAGCATTAACAAGGCAAGCTCAGTGTTGCAGAATCAGAAATCTAAATGAAGTGCCTCCACAATCTCCAAATGGGGGTTGCCAAAGAGATAAATATCGACCTAAAATCAGTGCAACAGCAAACAGTAAGTCAGCCCTTCCCGGGGCACCCGACATACCGAGTGGGTGCGCAGTGCTGCGATGGTCTTGGACAAAGCCATTTCCCACAGTTCGTCAATGTAGGCTCTGTTCACTAAGCCTTGGGTTGTGTGCAGAATGTGATCTTCAACCACAAAGAAGCTGAGATGGGGAAAGAAAGCACAGATGTCAGTGATCAGGGTTGCTCTCTTGACCACAAAGCTCTGACATTAACAGCTGCCATCTAACTCAAAGGGATTATTTTTTCTGAAGAACACTATTGTCTTAAATAAAATTACTTGAAAGATTTAAACATGTATAAAGTCATATTAATATCTTCTTAGAAATTTTACCAAGTCTGAAGTTTCATTTCTAATGTCAACCATATAACACAACAGTTTTAAGAAAGAAAACTATACACAGCCAATAGAGTCTACATCCAATGTACTTTTAAAATGCGATACATTTTAAGAAAATAACAAATTTTAAGAAGATAATAAACACTGAAATGTATAGATTTTTAAGAATTCAACACACAATAAACCAAAATATTTCCATTAATCAGGCCTATAACCCTAGTAACTCAGGAGGCTGTTTCAAGCCTTGCCTAAGCTTCAGGATGACTTAAGTAAAAACTTTATGAGACTTTGCCTCAAAATAAAAGGTCAGGTTGGGATACTTTTTAAAATTATAAATGTATGCTTTAAATTTCCTTATTGAAGCTTAACTACATTTAAAACATATCTTCAGTTACCTTGTTTAAATGCTTATTCAAATCAAAAGGAAACCTTATTAGGGAATTTTTAAATTATCAAAAAATATCAACTACACCAAGGTCCCTTGTAGCTCAGGCTGGCCTCACTCCGTCTCCACCAGAGCCCACATTCCTGTGCTTGGATTATAGGTGTGCCACACCTGATTTAGGCAGGGCTGGGGATCAAGCCATGCATGCTGGGCGTGCACGCTAGCCATGCACGCTAGGCATGCAGCAGTCGCTACATCCTTCAACCCTCAATGATGTGCACAAGGGAAGTTACTCATTACACTGGAGCAACATAAATCTGCTGCTGAAAGAAAGCAAGAAAGGACAGTAGAAGGAAAGCTAGAGAGAAAGTGAGAGAAGGAGAAAAAGAGGAAGAGGTGAGCAGGCAAGCTGTATTGAATAACCAGATTCCATTGCCCTTCTTTTAACAATGGTTGTCATCTCACAGTTGGAAAAAGCTGCTTGTATATGGAGGTCTTTATTAAGGAACCCCAATTCCACAATACTATGTCCAATCTAGATGAGAACAGTCACTGCATGCTGTGGGATCAGCCTAGCAGCAACTTGTTTAATGAAAATTGTTTCACTGTAACAGTTTTACTCACAGATTTCTGAATCATAGATAGCTGCTTTCAGGCTGGCACAAAGGCAGAAAGTTGTGACATGTTCCTAAATTCTGCTAGGCCTAAACTACTTTACTGTCTGAAAAAACTCTGCCAATATGGTTGATTAACTCCCTCCATAGTGGAACAAAGAATAAAGAAATAAACATTAAGTATAATAATGTTACAAGTCCATGGTCATCCCTTTAGTCACAAAAGTATCCTCCAAGAATACCAGTAAGAGGTCCTTTTCATTGTGTGTTTGTTCATTTTTGAGATAGCATCTCTGTGCAACCCAGGATGATCCTTCCGCATCAGCATCCCCAAGCACTGACTGACAGGTATATGTTACCATACCCACAGAAAGGTTCCTTCTAAATTATAACAAAATTAAAACTAAATACTTACTTTCAAATTTACCAAAAGAAAGAAAAATTTCCAAGTAAAGGTATATCTTTTATATAAGCCCTACAAATTAAGTATATAAGCTTAAATGTGTACTTACCCTACAATTTGATTGAAATACTTCCTGTAGCCATCTAAAGTTTCATGCTGCAACAAAGCAAAACAAAATTACTGTTTGTGTTATTATTTTAAGATGTGAATGCCACAGCTTCTCAGGAAGTTTCATTCCATAGACTATGAGGTAAACATAAAGATGGGGCCACTGATCCTCACATTAACAATGGGAATGAACTGATCTGATGTATATCTAGTATTGAGAGTAATGGCTGCCACATAACAGTCAAGAAATTCACTGCTGTTCTTATTTCAAGGTAAATGTACCCAAAGTTGTGTCACAATGACGGCAAGCATATACAGGCAGGTGTCCTTGCATACACAGACTGTACAGAGACAGACAAAATGAGGAATGCACAGACACACTCACTCAGCTCCCAGGAAGAAAAAGGGAAAACTACAGAAAGTGCAAGTAGTAAACCCACCATGTTAGATGGAGGCTGGAGCACCAGACGAGCCTGTTTTCGCCTTTGTTTTCGGTAGTAATTCTCAAACGTTTCTCGGGCACCCTGTAGAACAAGTAAAAGGAAATAATATAATTGGACAAATTACCCTTGGAATTGTAAAGAATGGAGTAGACTCCAGGTGTGGAATTTGAAGAATACCACATATCTCAAAGCCTACACTTGTAATAATGATAACAATCACAGAAATAAAAGCGACTTTGACCATATATTGACCCTGATCACAACGCCCAGAAGGGTAGATGGGAGTGACATTTATACATGGTCAGAGCTCAAGCTTCAGCACACAAAGATTGATTTCCAAGTCAAATATCACAAGTCCACAAAAATGAAGGTAAACAAACAATTTTAAAATGTTATACTAAGCAAGAAAATGTCCCATCAAAAACAAAAGAATGAAAAAATACCCAGAATGAAAGGGCTTTCAAATCATTTATGATCAGCGGGTCAACAGAAAGTGGGAAAGGTAAGAGATGAGGATGGCAAATCTTTTTCTCAGCTGGACTCTTCCTAGAAAAGACAGAAGCAAAACAAAATAGATAGCCCCTCAATATACTCGACGTTTCTAGTGTTACCCCATGGAGGGGTTGCCACACTTCAACACTGTGACACGACTAATGTGTTTGGCAGCATTCATAGCTCTCCCAGAAGACACACTGGATAGGTTTTTCTGAACTCAATATGAGTGATGCTGAGCGCAATACTTGGCTCATGAGCTCTACACTCACAAGCTATGTCTAGGTTGAAGAGTATCTACCTAAACAGACATCCTTCCCAGAAACTCTGGAAGAATTATTAGCCAGAACTAGCACTAATCCTGATGTGATCAGTCCAATTGTGTGATCATACCTGCTGGAGGGTGGGCCTTAGTGTACAATGCTGGTGTCCCAGAGTTGAAGACTGAGAAATGCACAAACAGGGAGGACAGCATGTACTGACAGGCAGACGGAGGCCCATATAGATGCCAGCTAAGAACACTAACAACTGCTGGGACCCACGGACCCAGGAAGACATAAACAAGAGTCTTCACATAGTCTCAAAGGAAGTATGGTTTCTGTGGGGCTTTTAATCTGGAATTCAAGCTTCCAGAACTGGGATAGGACAAATTTCTGTTGTTATAAGCCATATAGTTTGTGATACCTTGTTACAGCAGCCTAGGAAAATAACACAAATTGAGAGGGTTTTGTAATAACATGCCCCATTGTGACTAAATGTTCTTCTTAACCAAGACTTTTCTTAATAAGTAAAACAAGCAGAAAGATGCCACAGAGACTATGAGCACTGGCCTTAGACCAGGTGACAACATGCAAACTGTGGCTCTACCCTTCCTGCCAGTGTGACTGCTCTGACCCCCTGCTGCTAATTTAAGTTTCACTGTCTATTCATGAACTTTTGCCTGTGCTTGGGCAGTGTCTTTTTCATTTGTGGAGATGTCAACCTTGTGCAGTTGCTGCATGGACTTAATGAACTATAAAGCACTTAAAGCAGTGTGGAATTAAAAACAAGCATTTACGTAAGTGCTTGCTTTTCAAAAATAAACAAGATAAACCAGGTAGCAAAGAGAAACACTGTCCACCTTTCACAGTCTCTATTAAGGCAATTACCTAGGGCATTTTCTTCCACAATCTAAAACTTTGAGCAAGTTTGTTTAACATACTTCTTTGTTAAATTCTCATCTACACTGAACCTGAACTGTGAAAATTAACATAAGTCACAACCATGACAAACACCTTCTGTAAAGAGGAGGACAATTGCTCCTTCAGGCTGACCAGCAGCTGGTACTCATTCCACTTCAATGCTAAGGCAGCTGCAGAAAATCCATAAAGAAATGTGTCATGCCAGGGCCCACATCTGGGTGCGTGGTCCCACAGCAGCAGGGACCTGTTACCATCAACGGCCAGGCAGACATCCCTGATGGAGGCTACCACCCAGGGACATGTCAATGTCTGAGGGCTGGGAAGAACTGGCCCCACCCCTCACCTGGGCATCCTTGGGGAGCTGACCCTGGGAACATGAAAGTGGGAGAGCTGACCCTGCCCCTAACCAGCTGCAGTACTCCGGAGAGCAGCCCATACATATGGGAGCTACAGGTGAACCAGTCCCAAGGATACAGACATGGAAGAGCTAACTGTACCACTCATGTCTCATGCAGTGGTGTGGATGAGGGAGAGATACCCTTCTTCCCCCATCCCATCCTCTCCACTTGGGGCAGGCAGGGGACCTAGCCCTGGGGCCATGAAAGCAGGAGAGACGGCCCTGCTCCTCGCCAGCTTCAGCACTCAGGAGAGCACGCCCTGAACCTCAACTGGGCAGCACAATAGAGCTGGCCCTCTATTGCGGGGTTTGGGGGTTCCAAGTAAGCCAGCCATGAGCACAGAATAGCTGGCCCTGCCTCTTGTCTGCTGGAATGTGGCATCAGACCACGTACATCTCCCACCATCTATGGCAGGTGGGAGAGCTGGCCCAGGGTCATGAGAGGGGGAGAACTGGCCACGTCCCTCACCTGCCCATTCAGGAGAGTGGGCCCTGCACCTCACCTGGGCAACAGGAGAGAGCTGGCCCCGGTTATGTGGGGATGCTGGTGAGCTGTCCCAGAGGGCATGACAGCAGGAGACCCAGCTAACTGACCAGCTCAGATACCTTTTGGGTCTAGATCCAGGGCTTTGAATTGGGCTACCCCAAGTCTACCCCGTTGATGAACTGCTAGAGTACATGAAAAGGCCGGTCCTACAGATCCAAAACTAAGGATCTCCATGATACAGGGCAAGAACAGGATATCTGAGAGGAACCCAGAAAGTTCCAGAATTGATAAGAGTAGCAGAAGCCAAATGCCTCATACCAGATGAGAAAGTCATTGCAATGAACATATACAAGCAAAGAAGTGTACACAAAAGGGTATACTGTGGAACACACTGTAACCCACTACAATTTCCATAACAAGATTTTTTTTTTCTCTGTTATAGAGGGAAGTTTCAAAGGTAAAGGGTGGGTATCAGGGGAGAGGAAGATGAGTGGGACTGGGATGCATGATGTGAAATTCACAAAGAACCAAAAAGAAGTTAAAAAAAAAAAAAAGAAATGTGCCATGCACCCAAAAAGCTTCCTTAGAGAAACTGAAATAATAATATTTAATTTTCACCTGTCATGAAATATTACCTTTTTATGTTGAAAATGTCAAACTCAGTTTCAGTTCACAGGCTATAAAGATACAGGTAATAAGGTGAACTTTGCCCCCAGTTCACGGTTGTTAAGCCTTGTGCCCTTAAAAACAAACATCTTAAACTGCTAAAGTGATTATCACTCTCTACAAGTATTTCTTATATATAAAATAAAATTACACATTAGCTTGTCTCTTTCATCATTTTTTTTATCCACCAGTTAATGAGGAAGGAAATTATTCAAATTATTAAGTAACAAGTGGAGACTGCCATCTGACTTGCTAAAGTTATTCCCTACTTGTCGCCAAGTCATAGGATAGTGGTGTTGTTAAATGTCAATTACATGCTCTAGCCACTGAAGGGCTTTTCATTTTAAGGTTAACAGCCTTGAAGGACCTTTATTATTCTAGTGTGACATTACATATTCAACATGCTGTAGAGCCAAGATACGCTTCACTGTAAATTTAAGGGGCGTTCCCATTCTGATGAGACCATCAGGCACTAATTTGATATCTTTGTTGTAAATGATAGAGAGTATACAAGATGAAATTCTATATAAAAATCATATTCATTTCCTTTCTAATATTCCTCTAACAGAGAAAAGGCCAGCTTCATTAATAAGTCTGGTTTTTCAGTTTACAAAAATGAGTTGGATTTTCCCTGGTGGCTATTAAATAATTCACCTTTGAGAATTCTATTCCTTCTGCCAATTTTGTAAACTTGGTGTCTAAAGGCAGGATCCAAGAAGTAGGCATTAGGACTGTCTGGATCCTCTCTCCTCTCTTCTCTCTTCTCTCTTCTCTCTCTCTCTCTATCTCGCCTCTTACTGACCTGATAGTAGCAAAGGAGGACCTCCCCTGTCAGTGGACTAGGGGAGGGCCATGGTGGGGGGGGGTACAAAGGGAGGAAGGGTGGGACCTGGAAGAGATGAGGGAGGGGGCTACAGCTGGGATACAAAGTGAAAGGAGGAGGAGGAGGAGGAAGAAGAAGGAGGAGGAGGAAGAGGAGGAGAAGGAGAAGAAGAAGGCAGAAGGCGGCCATCAGACCAGTCTAGTCTGAGTAACTGACGGAGTGTTGCCCCACTCAGAAGCAGGCTACTGGGTGAACCATGGGGGCTTCATTTCAGCTGTGAATTTGAGGAAAAAAAGGAAAAAAAAAAAGGGGTAGTTTATTGTCAGAAAATATCTGGGGAAGTACCTAGCAGTTATACTAAATGAAATGTTAGTGATAAGAGGAAGCCAGGTAAAGAAAAAACTATTCCTAGAGGTTAACATTGAGACTCAAAAGAAAACATGCCATCATACATTCTAAAGGTCTAAAGAAGTTCTCTTTGGTGATGTACAGGGACAGCGAGAGATAAAGCTTCAGGAACTGATGAATTTACTTATTTACAAATACAGTTACTTGGCAACAAATGTAATGACAGGAATAACTTCTACACTTTGGAACTCAAATATACAGAAACTAGAATGAAGAAAGGAAAAATGAGATTCCAAGAGGTCAGTCAGAAACTCAACATGGTGGTACATGCCTGCTTTCCCGCTCTGAAAAGCCTGACAGGCAGGAGAATCATGAGTTTAAGACTAAGTTGGTCTACACGACAAGATTCCATCTCTCCATGTAGGAAAAAAAACAAAAAAACAAAAAACAAAAAAACAAAACATATTTTGAGATGTATTTGGAAGGCATGTATATGAAAAGTGGATGGTGAATGAAATGATAAAAACTTGGGCTCATATAGCATTTCTAACGGGGATCAAAAGTTTGATAGCATCTTCTTTAAGGACAGGGAACACAGAACACAGAGAAAATACAGACCATCGTCATTATGCAAAAACTCCATACTTGAAAATTCACCAGTTGTTTAAAGTTAGCTGAATTCCAAAA